GAGAGCCATACCATATGTTCATACATTGTATCATACATACTTGCCATTTTTGAAATAAATAATATTATCCCTACGACAGAGATAATCCTTCGTCACACACGTAAAGCTACTACACCTCTTATGTCTTACGAGTTTAAGAAAATTCTAGGCAAGTACAAACATGAGGATATGACATATTTCACTACGGAGTTCGCCGATGGAGCACAATATAATCTTCCACCATCAGCATTTGATGATCCGGATGTACTAAAGGCTTTTAATAAGAAGTTTCGCAAACGCTTACACAAAAATAATGCTGATGCAGAAGCAATCATACCATCGAATAAGCGACCTGAAGTGGTTAAGATCTATCCACAGACTTCATACATTCCCAGCTTTAAACAGCATGGAATGTACGTACCTCCAAAAGGCATTAAGAAACGTCGCACCCACCATCGGGGACCACAAGGACCAAAGCCTAAACGGAATAGAGTAACCGAGTAACTTATAACGTCTAAGTATACTTTGTCTAAGAGAATATAACATAAGCATTGAGGCCGTTATATGATTGAAACCCGTTTCTTTTCTTTTCGCTTGTACAATTCATGTGAGCATTTTGAGTCTATGTGCTACTACCACATATAAGCCAACATTGAAATATTCAAGCTGAGGGGGTTTTAGGGTTTTTCCTAATAGTAGTTGCACAGTTAACGTATATTATAAAAGTATTAACGTAATAACGTTTATACACAGTACTGTAATACGTTTAACGAATTGGACATGAACAAGAATTGAGATATTTAAGATTCTGAACATGCGATAGTACTCAGTAGAGTATGGGACTCCTACTGTGGACAAATAGGTGATTTTCCAAATATAGATTGGTTTTTCACTGAAATTAGAATTGTACTGCATAACGGAATAATACAAATCTGACACCTAAAAATGACACTTTGGGAATCTCTAATTAATGGGAGTACCATGAGAGAGGATCTCAGGCATGAAATGGTTGTTGGTATAAACCTGTGGTATAATTCGATAATAGTCTCAGAGCAAGATATTGCACTGAGAAAAGGACAGGATCAGAGTTGAAATCAAAACACCAAGCTGGTGCAGTATACATCTGCACCTAAACCCCATCACTTGGTACCTAGCTCTCCATCCCATTTAAGGCATAGACGGGCACATCTAGTTGGCTGGCTAAGAGGAATCAAAACCATGTTGTCCTAAATTCTAACAACTCTGATCCTATCCTTTCTCAGTGGATTATCTTGCTCTGAGATCTA